ATTACCTTCACAAGGTATTGGGTGTACACGTACTTTTTGAGCTATTGTTTTATATGTAGGAGAACTGGATTTAAACTGCATCAAAGATTCAACTTATTTTTTCAGTTAAATTTATATTATTTATTATTCTTATATTATTATCGTTATTATTATTATTTTATTATTATTAAATTAGTCGTCGCATTATTTTGCATTATCACTTCCACCTGTAAATTCATGTTGCCACAGTTACTAGGCGCGAACGATTGAGGTTGAGAAGGAGTGATGGCAACTACTGATTCTTTGATATCTTTAGAGTACATCAACCTCTCTGATGTATTGCGACACTTGTGAGTCTAACTACTGTATCAATACTGCTGCCAATTTGTAATATAATATATAAAACATGTATATACATATGTATACTTTTTGATGCACTATGTATTCTGCTATAGTCTTATAATAGGCACTTCTCTTCATTATTGTTTAACTATATCTCATGTTTTAATTCTTTTCTCTCCTTCTTTCTTTCCTTTTGCTTCTAGGAAGCATTATATGTACAGGATCAGGAGGGAGAATGGGTTTGATTTGTCTGGTCCAGAAAAACCCTGGGGTGAATTCACAGCTGCTAAAGGAGTCAGTTCATTAATACAATTAAGCTACATCACTTTACATTTCATGCAACAGTAACATTAATCTATTTATGCATGGGCATTTTTATTGTGATATAGGGATCCTATTATTTCAGTTATTATCAAGACCAGCTCCTTGAGAGTATGCTTGATTCTTACTCAAAGCACAGAGAAGGAAAGGTTTGTTAATATTGTGAAATTATATTACTTTAGTCATCTCTATCTCTCTCTTATTCCCAGGTTTTTGACAACATTTGTGAGCTTTTGGCCTCAAGACCGACCTTACTTGGAAGGTGACATAACCACAGGCTTATAAATCTTGTATTATATCCCTCCTTTTTCAATCTCTTCTCTTTCTTTTTAGGATAAGAGGACCTCTTGATCTACTGGAGCATCAAGAGGTTGAAGATAATGTCTCTAACGAGTCAACAAGACTCATACTGACAATTGCACAAATACTTATTCAAGAAGTTAGCCTCAAGCATCATGCATGATATATCTAAATATCTACTGCAATCGTCGTATCTTTTACATTATTTTTCAGAATGGTG